CAAGAATATTACAAAAGAGACAAATTTAGTAGAATATACTCCCTCCGTTCCATTGGACTTTGCCAACTTTCCTTTTTTGGTTGTCCCAAAAACTTTTTTACTTTCCTATTAAAGCAACTAATTTGTGATTCTGCACATTTCTCTCTCCTCTACACAAATCTCAACCACACAGTTTTTATTATTCTTATTTTTCATCCACTTTGCACTTAGCAAAGTCGACCGGGAAGGAGCTGGTAAATAAGAATGAAAAAAGTCAAATATAATTGAACGGACAGAGTAATAATTTGGAGTCCCTACGCAATCGGCAATCTCCCACCGCTAAAAAAGCTACGTACGTACGTACGTACACTCTGTGATAGATACAAGTACAATACACACTGGGCCCCACAAGACCATCTGTACGTATTATGTATGTATAAATATTGAGGATGGTTTCTTCCCACCGCACAACATATACAAGTATTAATCTCTGCTACTCTGCTCTGACGGTCTACAAATCTCAGACCGACACCATTGTTGATCGAGCTTAGGTCTGCATCTCAATTAGTTAGGTCTGTATCTAATGTTTCATAAATGACACACTAATTAACTAACTAACCTTCCTTTAATTGGTCCAATTTAATTTGTTTCGCATTTTATGAATATAGGTCGGGCCGGCGGTGGTGAGCCAAGACAAATGGGTCATTCTTGGGTTTACGTTCTGATGGGCTTTCTGTGTTTCACTTCACCATGTCGTGTTCATGGCCGTGATGCTGGTGGGTGGACTGATGCTCATGCAACCTTCTATGGAGGTTCCGATGCTTCCGGAACAATGGGTATACCTACATGTTACATTTATCTATATATACATATATGTCATCACCATGTACGCAGTCTTTACTCATGTACTAAAGCACGGAGAAACTTTTTTTGAATGATCCATAGTGAAAATTAAGTCGAAAATTGCATTGACTCTTACTTCGTAACAAAGAAGCGCTGACACTTTAGTAAACCATTTTGCTTTATTCCATCTATTCCCAAGTCAAAAAATAGTGAGTATTTGATTCCATTGAAAATGATGGAAGGTTATATATACATATATGCAAAAGAAAAAAAATTATTTGTACACACCTTACACACGTTTGTGAGCAGCTTTTTTTAACGTAGTATTTGTGAATAACCTGTTCACTATGTTTTGCAACATGCTATTCATACACAAAAAACAGTCCGCTCATAGACGCCTGTTTAAGAAGTGTTTACAAAAAAGCGTGTAGAAGAAGAAATTTTGGTTTTATAATTACAAAGTACTAATGACAATATGTACTGAGAAAACAGGAGGAGCTTGTGGGTACGGGAAATTGTACAGTGAAGGGTATGGTACAAACACAGCAGCACTGAGTACAGCTCTGTTCAACAATGGGCTCAGCTGTGGAGCTTGCTTTGAGCTTAAATGTGTGAATGCACAAGGCAGCTGCCTCCCTACAGGCTCAATAGTGGTCACAGCCACCAATTTCTGCCCTCCCAATTTGGACCTCCCTAACAATCAAGGTGGGTGGTGCAACCCTCCCCTCCACCACTTTGACCTCTCTCAGCCCACTTTCCAACAAATTGCTCAATACAAATCTGGGATTGTCCCTGTCTCCTACCGAAGGTACCTAATTTAATACTCCACCTTTGAAGTTATGTGTCATTTTTTGTTTATTTCTTTGATGCATGAACCAAGCGTGTGTGAGGTGTATTAAAAAGTTGTACAAATAACAATAGCAGGTGTTTAGATCTACTTCAAACATAAACAAAAATTGATGTGTTTGGGGATCGTGCAGAAATACTTTTGGGTGCTCCAAATTGCTCATAGAATCGTTTTTTTTAGAAGTTGGGAAGATCAGTTTTTGAAAAAACGATTTTGATTCTGCTTCTGTTTCTGTTTCTCTTTTTAGAAAAGAAACAAATAGAATCGATTCCAAACATCCCTGAGTTTCTCTTTACTTTCGAATTGAGCTTATAAGACAGGCACTAAAAATTTAGAAACATTGGTGAGTTTGATTTAATATATTTGCAGGGTACCCTGCCAAAAGAAGGGAGGAATAAGGTTCACAGTAAACGGACACTCATACTTCAACTTAGTCCTCATCACCAACGTTGGTGGATCGGGTGATGTCCACGCAGTGTCCATCAAGGGCTCCAAGACCAATTGGATGCCCATGTCCAGGAACTGGGGGCAGAATTGGGAGAGCAACTCGTACCTCGACGGGCAGACCCTATCCTTTAGGGTAACCACCGGTGATGGTCAGTCCGTCGAGTGCAATGACGCCGTGCCCTCTGACTGGTACTTCGGCCGAACCTACCTCGGTACCCAATTCACTTAACCAAACCAAAATAATATAATTACCATATAGTTATTAGTTATTACTACACATATAAAAGGATGAAATCAAATAAATGGTTAGTCCGTAGTTGAATAGACAGAAGGGGAATTGAAGGGCTTATTTTTTAAAAGTGGCTCTTGATGATCTGATACCCCTTTTTGAAACCAAGTTTTAGGCTCATAAAGTTGAACCATCTATGTTGGTGTTCGAATTTCTGTGTTCGTAATATTAAAATGAGACAGAAATTTTGGACCATCTATGTATTTTAGTGATTTGTTTAATTGTTTGGTACTTTCGAGAGATGTATGAAATTGTTGTCGCTTGTTTGTTTGTGATATGAGGTTGAATAAATTAATGAGTGTGTCACTATGTTGGTGGACTTCTATGAGAAAGTACAATGTCTCCGCTTTTGAGCACAAATGCAATCCGGAAGGTGATTAAATGTTTTCTGGAAGATAATTGCGTTTTATATGTATATTCCGACGCAGTTTTCTTTAAAAAATCATCTGACGACCTTTCCGATTGAATTTTTTGCTCATATTTGATAGGAAAGAACTTGACTTGATGAAAAACATACACAAAAAATTTCATCAAAAATACCACCGGGAACCACCTCAAATTGAGGTGGCCGGATAGGAAGAGCACTCATATATATATATACACATATAGGAATGTTCAGGTCCGAACATTCCCCGTCCGAACACCGTCCGAACAACGCCGTTCGGGGCGGTTCCCGCTGTAATTTTTTGATGAAATTTTTATGGTATGTTCTTCATCAAGTCTAGTTTATCCACAAAAAGTTTCAATTCAAAATTAGATCGGGAAAGCTTTCAAATGATTTTTTAAAGTTGACTACGTTTTTCTATGTATATTGACAACTAACAGGATGTTTTAGTTACTCTTAGTTGTCAATAAACTGCACTTGAATTATATTCTAAGAAAAACTTCAATATAAAAACCTCTCAAACAAAAGACACGGCAATTGCTCGTAAGAATTGGTTGATAGTTGATAATAATAATTGATGTATATATATAGGGATTGGAATTGGCTAGTTAGGTCTAGAGATGGACTCGGGCCGGGTGGCCCGACCCGGAACCGGCCCGGGACCGGTACTGTTCTGGCCTGGCCCGACCCGGTGGCCCGGTCAGTGACCGGTCCGGGTAGGCCCGGCCCGTGGGTTTTCCGGTCCGGGCTCGGGTCACCCAAAACAAGGCCCGACCCGGCCGGGCCCGGGCCCGGTTCGAGCCAAAAACTATTTTTTTTTTCAATTTTTTTAAATTTTCGGGTTGGGCTGGGTATTTTAGGCCATTTGGGGTGGTTTGGGGGGTTGGGGGTGGGAGGGGGGTTAATTAGGAAGAGGAAAACAAAAAAAAAATATAATGGACCCGGCCCGGACCCGGACCGGACCCGGTGGTTACCCGGGCCGGTCCCGGGTCCACCATTTCTGACCCGCCGGCCCGCCCGGGCCTAGGCCCGACCCGGACCCGGCCCGGACCCGAGTCCATCCATAGTTAGGTCCCATTTGCTTTCCATTATTTACGTTGGGAAATGGGAAGTAGCTATAAAGGAGTAGAGTTCCATTGAAAAGTATTTTTGTTTTTTGATTTTAGTTCCATTGAAAAGTTGGGGGGGGGGGGGGGGGGGGTAAGGGGATGTTTATAAAAAAATAAAATAAAATAACTAAATCCAAGACTGGAATCCAGACCGGCTGATTGACCGGAACATTATAGGTCCCGAACTCGGGCTCCTATAAAAAAACGGGAAGGCAGAATCGGCCCAAAACTGAAACGGTTCACCCCTAATTGCATAGTTGTCATTTAAAAACTAAATTAAATTTTAAAATACACAAAACACTTACCTACAAATCACTTTTGAAAATGTAGTACTCCCTTCTTCCCATTTAAAGGTTCTCGTCCACTATTCTAGTCAACATTAATTGTTCTTAATCTTTCACTTTATATATCCAAATTTTATCAAATTTAATCTTTCTTGATCAGGTATCATGAAACTTTTAATGTAATTTTTGAATATGTAAATTTCATTTTCTAAAAATAGTCTTATTAATGACATGGATCGGTTAACTTTATGGTCAATCAAATTTCGTAAACCACGTGAAAACCTTTAATTGGTACAGATGGATTTACCATTTTCATAATTCAATGTCATTCTTCATAATTCAAAGTCATTCTTACTTTATTCATATTATATCTACTCAATAGTCAATACTCAATACCATCATATTTGTATTAATACCGGTGGACGTAGCTCAACTGGTAGTGAGAGAGTGTCACAAGGGTTAGGTCTCGGATTCGAATTCCATCAACTACGATGAGGGGTTACTACGCCAAAATGCATAGGGACTCTACAAGTACCGATGACAGAGCTCCACTCTCTATATGTCAGATTGAGATTATAGTCCAATTTACATCCTCCCGATGTATCGTCCGGTCGGGGTTAGGAGCCTTGGAGGATGTCATCCTCTTTTTTATTATTATTATTAATAAACAGAGCACTTTCTAATGTCCAATCCTTGGTCCTTAGTGCACAAAGGTAATTATACTGATTTGATTGATGTGCTACAAGAAACCCAAAGAAAATACGGAGTATAGACTATAGAGCATGTCTATGACTTTTATGCATGACATACATCGATGTATCCCAATCATCAACATGTTCCTCATAAAGCATGTCAAACTGTCAACATTTTACAATAAATTTACTGAAAGAAAACCCTCATTTTCAACCAAATTTGAAATTTGGGTTCTCGATGTAAGGTAGAAGACATCACCCAGATTATTAGTGTCATTTTAATTTTCCAATGTACAATCAGTGTAGCTTGAAGGGTAATAATGAAGAAAATAAAATATGTCCTGAATTCTTAACTTTCGTGAAGAAGTTGTAGATTGATATCATAACTTAACTGAAAAAGCTCATTATTAAGAACTCAAAACACTGAAATTTCAAAAAACTGTCCTCCCACTCACCATGGCAAAACGGGTGTACCACATAGTTTGTGGCAAGTATAACCTTTAACTCTAACATCTGTGAAGAGGTTCATGAGCGGCACAACAAACGAATTTCACATGCTTAAAAAATACCAGACAGCTCCGCACCTGGGTTTACCGTGAAGTTCTTGAAAATCAATGGACAATCAATAGATGACATGATGAAAGTTTCAGAATCACAGTGACTGAGAGATCGGGTTCTTGGAAAGTTGGACAATGGCAGCCTCCTCCAACTCTTCTGCCATTAACAGTCTAGAAGTAGGTGCAAATTTCATGTTCAGTGAGTGTTGTATTTCTTCCAGTTCCAATTGTCTCACAGAAAAGTAAATTCTTGCTGCATCTATGGTCCTACTGACAAAGTCTGGTCTGGATATGTAGTCCTTCATGCTGCATATGAAGTCCAAATGCCCTCTTGCCTGAAAAGGGGGAGAAGAGAGGTTTGAGCTAAAGATATCAATCCAAAGCAATAGGCACAAGGAAATGAAACAAATGAATAACCCATAGTTTCCAATAAACAAATGGAAAAAAAAAAGAGAGTAATATTTAGCCCCGTGTTTGGTTAGGGGATTTTGGAGACCGGGGAAGGAAAATGATGATATTTGTTTTTCAAATTCATTGTTTACAGTTACATGTTTAAGAGAGTAAGTATGCTGAAAAATCATAATGAAATACATGATTTGACTAAAAAAAGTAAATAAATAGCCATGTAGTTATCGTCTTGCCCGTGATTACATATAGAATGATAGACATATGTTAGTAAAAAAAATCAATCCTCTCCACGAAACTAGCTATTTAAGCTCACAAGAACTGCCATTTTAGAATTTATTGGGCAAATGTACACAGATAATCAAATACTGAACCAAATAACGTTTTTATTGCTGCTATCATATGTGAGCCTTGAACAACATTGACTGAAATGCAACTGAAACTGAATTAGTGGTAGAAGCAACATTTATTTATGAGTCTCAAAAAGAAAAGTTTGTTTGGTGCGGTCAAACCACCTGCCTATAGTCAGGGGCTCGTTTTGGAAGCTTGAGGTAATCCATGTTATGTATTGCATAATCCCATAGAAAAGATGTATGATGAATCCATCTATTTTTTGTGATCGACTGTGCATTTCCACCAAACTTGTGGCTGCCAATTACATAATCTGAAGAAATTGAATAAAAAATGACATAAGTGCGGCTGTTTTATGTATAAGGATTGACTTGGGGGAGAAAAAATGGCTGAAGAACTGAACAATTATTGCGTAATGTTCTCTCTGTCCCACTAGGACTTTACAAAACTTTTCTTACTTGATTGTCCCAAAAACGTTGCCACATTCTCTTTAAAGTAATTAATTCATTGCTAATATTATTTCTTTTTCCAATGCACAAACATCAATTATTGTTTTAACTTTTAAATTCCCTGAGCCAGTCAAAGTTGGTCAATATTTAAGGCATGGATGGAGTGTTTTTTAAAATGCCTATGTGGGACTGTGCAACTTTTTAAAATGACCAATACATAAATCATATACTCCATCTTTCCCAAAATAAGGTTCATGGTTTGACTTGGCACGCCTATATTAGGAACAATAAATTGTGTGGTATGAAATTTCATAGAGTTTACAGAAATAGTATGAATCACACAATTCATTCCTTAAAAGGAAACAAGAACCTTATTTTGGGACAACTAAAATAGGATAACATAGAAACTTTTTATTTTTGGACAGAATGAAACAAGATTACAGTATCATACCCACCGTTTTCACGAAGAGCAAATTCTCCAATTCCTTGAAACACATTTCCATACAATAAGCTGCTCCAGCTCATGATAGGTTGGGGGTATGGTTTCACATGCGGAACAGCACCCTTATTACATATGAAGGTAGCAAATATAGTCCCATGATCAACAATTACAGTTCCTCCACCAGTGAACCTTTTGATGACTGGAACCTTATCTTGTAAAACAGAATTAACTTCAATAAGTTCAGTAGGCTTCCTGTAAAAAAGGTTTGTTTTCAAGTTACACTGCCCTGAAATTCTTCTTTAGTTGACTTTTTCCTCTTATCATCTTATTTAGAAACTAAAGAAGTACTTGCATTGTTTTAAAAAGCCAACCAAACTTAAAAGCATATTCTTTGAGCTAAACTGAGTAAAACAGTCAACCGTCAACAGATTCAAAGCGACATTAATTTGAAGATTATAGAGCAGGCTACGGTGAAGAATAATTTGAAGAATACAAATATACTTGGAGCAGACTACGGTGAAGAATACAAATCTACTTAGAACAGTCAACCATCAACAGATACAAAGCTACATTAATTTGAAGATCATAGAGCAGACTACGGTGACTCATAGAGCATGATCTCTACTTAGCATTTGGGAGCAATAATTTGAAGAATACAAATCTATAGTAATGTTTTGATTTACAACAACAGTCAACAGTGATGATATCTGTAATCAGAAGATTCCGAACTTAAGAGGAATAGCTTCACAGATACAAAGCTACATTAATTCTTGGATCACATTAATTCTTCAGAAGATTCTTGTGTGCTGCAAATGCATTTTTTAGACAGTCCACTTCTTCAAGTAACTGAATGAACATCTGTAAGGCACTTAAGAAAACACTTCCCCAATTCCATTTCACACATTTAGCCATTTTTATCTTAATAACTCTATTTTCAGTATCTTTGTTCTTTCAAATTCTTTCTCTTATGTTCGGGAGACGGATCATATGTAAACTAATTTAACTAGAATTCACAACAATTCCTCACATTAATTCAATAAAACTAATGAGCTAGCATATACAATTTATACATAGAACAAGAAAAGCCAGAGAATATTCAGAGAAAAAAAGATAGAAAAGAACAGATCATGTAAATGAGTACAAGAACAAAATGTGTATCCAACTTACCCAGAAACACCCATAACTACGGTGGGTTGATCTGTCCCATCATTAATGATACACCAATTGTCGGAAGAAGTCCTTAACAACCGCTCCTCTAAATACAACTGTTCCAAAATGGGCATACCTTTTAGCCTCACGAGATTCATTAATGGAAGCTGACCGTTTGTGTTTCGAAACAGAGCCATAGTAATCTTCTGATAACGCTTGGTTTGGCGCTAAGCTGAATCGGCTTTTCCCCTTGAATTTCCCCAAATCGGCCTAGAGCTTGTTGACTAGCGGCGTGCACATCTTTCTTGCAGCTTTAAGCCGACCATCAATGGTTCATCGGGCCTTGAATATCTATTGCTTTAATATAAATTAGAATAGTAAAAAAAATGGGAGAGAGATATCGATTGACTGATGGCTAGAGGACACAGAAGCTGTTACGAAATTGATGGCTTGCACGGGAGGAGAAAAGATGCGGCGAACGGCAGAAGAAAGGAGCGGCGAAGGGAGGGGCAGTTTAGCTGATGGAAGTACCGCTGTACCAGTATATGGACTAGACTATGGGGTGGTAAACTGGTAAATTTTGAGGGTGCTCTCATACTATAGACTAGAGTAGACACTCCAATTTTGATGAGATAGAAAATTACAGTACATGTTTAACAAAAAAGGTTGAATATAAAATGAATAAACTGAAAGTAAGGTAATAAAATTAGATGCACTCTAAATAAATTTATTATTGTAACCTTATTAGACAAAATTACCCTCTTTATTTTTTAAATTCAATACTAAAATTGTTCCATGAGAGTTCAATTTTAAGTATACTTCCCTCGTTTCAAAATGAATGCTACATTTTTCATTTACTTAATTTCCCTTTCCCATCAACAACCTCATTTCATTTACTTCATTCCCCTTCCCAATCAACTGCCCCATTTCATCTTCTCAATTCATTTATCTTCTTCACCTCTCTCCTCTGCACACTCCCTTCGTCCTTTTCTCCGTCGTTTACCATCACTCTGTTGCTACCAATCCACAACGTTCCTCGGTATACCTCTTTGCCCTTGTCTCACTTGTTTCCCACCACTCTGTTGCTACCCATCTACCCCTTCTCTTCCAACGCAACCCCTTTTGTACCAAGTCATGGTTGAACCATATTCTCCGCCAACAGTGAAAACCCCTCCCCCGGCTTTACACATGCATTTAGAAAGTGTTCTGGATGGAGAGAAGGTCACACTGTCTTAGATCTAAAATTGGAAAACGGTGGGTTTATAGATCCGTTGCACGCAGCGCCGGTGACCTCATTTTCTCCATTGATTCTTCATTTCAGGGACTCTAGTGAGTCTGAGACGGATCCGAATTGGGCGATGCGAAAGAAATATGGGGACAACCTTGTGTCCGACACAAACGACGAGATGGAAGGCTCGGAAGATGGAGAGGAGGTGTCTTCGGAAGCGGCGGATGAAGGTGGCAACCTGACATGTTCAGAGGAGGGTTCAGACGAAGAGGATGAAGGGGAGGAGGAGCCTCGACGTGACTTGCTAGGGAAGTAGCTTGTACTCCCTATTCTTTTTGTAATTTGAATATGTTCATGGCGAATTGCATGTTTGTTGTTGGGGTTTATGTTTGCTGGGGTTTACTGAGTACTGGGAAACTAATGATGTTATGGGGCTTGAGTTCGTGTTTACTGTTTTTTTAAGATGTTGTTTAGCACTGATGTCACCCAATTTAGAAAATTATAGGTGGCTCTGTTTGATATGAACTATTGTCTGGAACCTAAAGACAATTTGCATAACCAAATGTGTGCATTGCAAAATGATTACATGGCATTATAAGTTCACATTTGGGCTTACAAAAATTTGTTTACCTACTACATGGCAGTACTTAAATACTTGCACTTCCATACTAATGTACATACAAAAAGCATACAAAAAAGCATTAACACTTATGTGTGTACAAACTTGCGGTTGCCATAACAGTTCTAAAATAAACCACTCATAATGGTTCATATTTGAAGATATGTTTAGTCTTCATTCATGAACTGTCCTGATGATTGGCCTGCATTGGTAGTTGTCACTTATCCATTATAGTATGTCCTGGCTGTTTCATACACTTAATCACTAGTGTGGATATTTGTTGGTAATAGCCCCTGCCTTTCCAACTTGTCTTTGCCTATATGGTTCAACTTGAAATTGTTGCCTCCCATGTTCTGCAGTACTGCTTCCATTAGACATTGAAAGCTTAGAAAAACTTTGTTCAATGTGTTTGATGTACGTTTATTGAAAGAAGTTTTTACAACTTCAAGTAAACCTGTAATATTCTTTGGCCCTTTTTGATCTTTGATTGAATCAATTACCCTAAAGAAGCCCAAGTCTAGAACATTCAAGTCTGGATTATTTGGAGGTTGGCATTTGAGTTCAATGTTCCAACCATCTTGTGTCCCAATCCTGACAAAGTCAGGATCATTAACCCCTATATGAGGTCTGACATTGTCTTGTTGTATGATGACATGTATGTTTTATTATTCTGGCCATTTCTCTTTGATAGCTGGGACAACTTTGTTTAGAATCATGTCTTTGATGACTGCTCTTGTCACACTTACTATTAGCTTTGTCTCTAAAGTTCCAGCAGATCAATTTTTGCTTGACTTTTTGGCTGGGTGTTCATGTGTGAATGGAAATATGCCTACTTTCCCATCCCATAAAACCTCCCATTACCTTTTAGTCTCGGCCTACCAACAACTGCTAGGAACATTATCTTTGCAATGAGTCTTTTTTATTGCATTGTTGTGTATGAACCCTCTTCTGTTGGAATAGTGTAGAATGTGGTTGTTTCTTTTGATAGGTAAAATCACATTTCATCAATATGTATGTAATCATAGAAGTCATGAAAAGTATGAGTTGTTGGTAGGGAATGTGACAATACATGACTCAAACAGTATTTTAACCTTGATAGCACTAGAATGCCTTTTGATTTGCTTTATGTTATACCACCTACACACTGTAGAGGAGGAAATTAGCATAACATAGCTGAAAGCTCTCATATTTTTCATCTTATGCAATGATATTTCTTTCATTTTTTGAATGTATAAGGAAATCCTTTTTCTGCCTATATTACCTCTCAAGTTGCTTTGCACATTTATGCCAACACCATCATGCATATGTTCTTTTGCTTTCTTCCGGGTCATGTGGACATTTTCTCTTCTGACTTTGAACTCATTAGCTATATTAATAATAATGCCCCCTGAAGTTTCCCTACAGTAGACATGCTTAACAACTTCTGTATTATGCGCTTCTAGCTTTTTCTGTTACTCTAGACCTTGGATGTTGTAATGTGTGTCATTCCCCCTCATTTTTCTGTTTGAAACATGTGTGCAGGTGAGAAGGGCAAAGGGTGACCATCTGGAGGGTCTTCTGAAGCTATGGGGAGCATGAACATCACTCAAAGCTTGTACTTGAACGACTAAGGGAAAAACAACTCTTTGCCAAGTTCTCTAAGTGTGAATTTTGGCTCAAGGAGATAGGCTTCCTCAGTCATATCATATCCGGTTCGGGCGTTGCGGTGGACAACGCCAAGATAACAGCCATCATTGATTGGGAGAGACCCAAGAATGTGAAGGAGATACGTAGTTTCCTTGGATTGGCGGGTTACTATCGTAAATTTGTTGAGAAATTCTCCGTGTTGGCGTCACCACTTACAAAGCTCACAAAAAAGGGGGCTAAGTTCGTATGGGACGACAAATGCGAGAAAGGGTTTCTAGAACTAAAGAAACGACTTACCGAAGCACCAGTTCTTGCGCTACCCATACAAGGTATAGGGTACGATATCTATAGTGATGCTAGCATCGAAGGGCTTGGGTGTGTACTAATGCAGAAAGGCAGGGTGATTGCCTATGCTTCTAGGCAATTGAGAAAGCACGAGGTGAACTACACTACCCATGACCTGGAGTTGGGAGCGGTGGTGTTTGCACTAAAGATTTGGAGGCATTATCTCTACGGGGAGACATGTCACATCTACACCGATCATAAGAGCTTGAAGTATGTATTTACTCAGAGGGAGCTGAATATGAGGCAAAGGAGATGGATGGAGTTGATCAAGGACTATGACTTGATCATCGACTATCATTCCGGAAAGGCACATGTAGTGGCTGATGCACTAAGCAGGAAGAGTACGTCAGGGACGTTACTCACATGCCTACGGGCATTGCGGGCACACGTGAAGGTGTCCCCGAACGGGGCGCTCATGGCTAGATTTGAGGTTAGACCCACGCTGCTGAGTGAGATCAGTAGTGTTGGATAATTGATACCCGTATTGTATAAACAGGAGAAATTGAACAAGAATGGAGAAGAAATAATGAAAGTGTATAGAATGAATGAATATTTGTTATGGTTTACAAGCCTCCTATAAGGAGTATATATAGGGAAAATCCGGGTCTGGGCCTGTAATATGGGCCTGACAGACCCGGTTACATAAATGGACTGATAGTATAAAAAGCTAATCTGGAACATCTTAATAATAATAATGTACAATAATATGAATCCGCTAAACGTGTGTGGGCCGCTGTCCAGGCCCAGTAGTCGGCATACCGGGGGGTCGGAGTCCATATACTCCATCAGGAGTCCCCCACTCCCTGAGTCGAGAGTACTCGAGGCAAAAAGGAGTAGTCCAAACTGTATCTGCAACGTTCTTCTGTCTTTGATTTCTTCCTTTCTGGCCGAGGACCACCACCCTTGCCCATGATGGGGAGGTGCCTCGTTAAAAACCTTTACTAGGAAAAAACCCTGTGGGAAAAAATCCTAATAAAAGGAAAAAGAGTACACCTAGCGCCCCCAACATGAAACGAGGAAGGTAGGCCCCTTCCGGCATAATCATTTTTGTCTAGTTCAACCTGTCTTCATCTGACTTAGCTCTCGTTCCTGCTCATGCGTGATGTTTGCTGCTCATCCAGAAAATCTGACCTCTCAGTCCCCCAGTCCCCCACTCTTTGAGGCGAGTGGAGTCGAGGTGAAAATGAGTAAAGTCGTCTTCGTACCTACACATTTAGCATGCATATAAATTTTTTCT